ACAGTGATTATATAATGTAATAAAGTATTTTTATTTATTTGGTTTTTTATTTTTTGGAATAATAAATGCTTCTTTTTTTTTTTTGTAATATTATAGCATCAATGGATTTTATTTTTTTGGTTTCTATTATTATAAATTAATAGATTAAAATCTAATTGCAAGTGAAATTCAACAATCTATTTCAAAGAATTGTTTCAAGTTAAATGAGCTTCCAAAAAAATATGTTTATTATTTTATGTGATTTATAAATTTATTTATAATGAAATATTATTTTTATTTTTATTTTTTTTGTTTGTTTTTCCAAAGAAGAAGATACTATCATTTTATTTTGTTATATTTTTTTTATAAGTAAGTTAATTTCGTTATTTTAATTGTGAAGACATTTTTGTTCATGTACAAAAATATCTAAGCTTTTGAAAAACATCATATATATTTCTATTTATGTTTTACATTCTCTCATACAAGTGGAGATAGTTAAGATAATTAAATACATTCTTAACGGAAAAAATTCTTTCAAATTTAAAAAAAATTATGAACCTTTCTTACAAACTGATGTGGCATGGAGTGATACAACTTTGGAATGTGAAATGAGGCCCAACTCATTAATATTTTAGGTGACACATCAGTTTGCAAGGAGAGTTTGTTTGAAAAGTTTGTTTGTATAGCACTACTCATTCTTAACATGTGCCCTTAGGGCATAGGTAAACTAGACGGAAAATACTATGGACTCTAAATAAATTACCAAATTTTCTTAGATTTGGTAGAAAATTTGGTAATTTATTTAGGGTCCCTAGCATAACTCCAACCAGACTCTTTACTCCTTTTGGAAAAATTTTGTATGCCAATAAGGTACTATGTGTAGCGCTGCAAACGAATCGAATCGAGCCGAGCCGAGCTTTACTGAACTCGAGCTCGGCTCGTTTACTTATCGAGCTCGTTTATTGAGCTTGAGCTCGGCTCGACTCGTTAACATTAATGAAACTCGAGCTCGGCTCGGTTCGGCTCGATAATTTTTTAAAAATATTATTTATATTATTTAATATATAAATAATGTATTTATATAAAAATAATATTTTTATTATATAATTAAAAAAAAGATAAACGAGCCGAGCTTATGCGAGCTCGAGCTCGGCTCGTTTACTAAATGAGCTGAGCCGAGCTGAGTCGAGCCCTTAACGAGCCAAGCCGAGCTTCTTCATGAACAGCTCGATTCATTTGCAGCCCTAGCTACGTGACAGTACCTTCCATCAATCACAAATGTATATGCCCTCTGTAATTCTACAAACACCCAAACATAAATGTAGTAGACTGTATTAAAGCCAATTACAATAATATAAGGTACCACACGATATATACAATATCTGCATATAAAAATTACTCCTTTTAGGAGGACACATGGGTAGGAAATCGATAATAAAATTATTTAACTATTACAAATGATGTAGCATAAAAAAAATAATAATAATAAATAAAATAAAAACTATTACGTGAGAGGTTTAAACAAATGAAATTTTTTTAAAAAACTATTACGTGAGAGGTTTAACTATTACAAATGAGGTTTAACTATTACAAATTTGCCAATTTTTACAGTAAGATATTGTCAAATTGTTCTCAGCTTATTTTATTTTATTTTATCTCATTAGTTTTTTAACAAATGAATCTCAATTAAACAAACTTTAGTTGATTTTTTTTTTTTTTTGCTTGGTTGAATTTTTAAAATTTTTTTTGAAAATTAATTTGACCAAAATAAATATAAAAAAGAGTATGTTTTTAAGTTTTCAAAAATTATGTTTTTCCAAAAAGAAAAAAAGAAAATCATATAAAAATAAGGAATGTGAAAAGGTATAAAAAAAGTAAAAATAAAAAGGAAATGAAAGGTTAAAAGGAAGAAAGGAAGGTGTTTTGATCTCGGATCGGATACGAAGTCACTGCTGTGACCCCTTTACTGTGCCTAAAACGGCACAGTTTTACCTTCTTTTCTTTTTTTTCATGTTCTCATTATGTTTTTTGGCATGATAAATTATACTTTGTCTCTATATTTGGTCACTTTTTTACTTTAATTCTTAAAATTTTCAAATTTTTTCAGTTTAGAAAAAAAAATAGTTTTTTTGTCTAATTTTGAACTGAAATTAACTAAAAAAATTATAAAACATAAAAGATTAAAATAAAATAAAAAAAAATTTAAGAATTAAAGTTTAAAAAAAAAAAAAAGTGACCAAATATAGGGGCAAAGTGTAATTTATCATACAAAAAAACATAGTAAGAACATAAAAAAACAAAAAAAAAAAAGATTAAAACTGTGTCGTTTTAAGCACAGCAGAGAGCACAACAGGAGAGGCCACAACAAGGACCTGTATCCTTTGATCTCATTATAAAATATAATACTTAAGGGTTGTTTGGGGTGTCTTAAATAAGTGTATTTTTTGTCTTTTTAGACTAAAAATTGAGGTTGAAAATATGAATGTTTTGGTTAATTTTTTGAATTTTTATGCTTTTTGACTTTTTATGAAAAAATGTGTATTAAAAAATTGTATAAATTAATGTGTAGGAGAAAAATTAGTATTGGGAGTTATGCAGCCGTAATTGTTGATTTTTTGTGAATAGTGATAACTTTTTAACTTTTTGAATAATTTTTTGACTTTTTAACTTTTTTGAGACTTCCTAAACTTGACTTAATCTATATAGTATTTAATTTTTTTTTTTACTACTTTCTATAAAAGTTGAAATAGTTCTACCTATTAATATCTTCTTAACATAGGCTCTTAGGCCTATGTTAACAAGAACTATAATATATATAGATATATATATACATTTTAAAAGATAATGTTTGAGACCTTTAATAAAGAAAATTTATTGGTTGGTCCAGAGGTGTCACGTGATCATATCTCTTACCAATCACAATTCATCATACTTTCACATGTTCCCCAATCACCCAATATAAATACATAGATTCCACTCTTTTTACCAATCACAACACCATTGGGACATCACATGGCGGGGCCTTAAAACCAACTAATAACTTCTCCTTAATGAAACTCCCACAATTTCACCTACTTTTAATTTGTCACATACTCAATTATGTGAGACTGTATTTCTTTGCCACGTCATTGTAGTTGTATTTCAGAGTGAGTAATGCTAGACTCCAAAAATTCTATCAAATGTCTCACATGGGTGTGAGACCCACACAATGTGGGTCAATATGGGTCTCACACCCATGTGAAACATTTGGTAGAATTTTTTAGATCTCTAGCATTTTTGTTCAAGAGTCTCAATCTCCCCATTTATATCTTATCTTTCCATACATCTCCATACTCTTTTATGGGTTTCAATTTAGACCAGTACTGATGATCCAAACTGTATATCTTGTAGGTCCTACATTGAAGGTTATTGGAAGTGGGGACGCTGGTGCGCACCCTGCGCAGCAGCGTCTGCTATGCGGCGATTTGGGCCCATTTCGAGACCCATTTTGATAATCTGAACCGTTCACATTGTAGAATACGTCAAGTAGAACATGCCTGCAAAAAATCAATTTAATCGGATATCGTTTACGCATTCATCCACTCACATTTGTATCTACAAAAATAAATACAAATGTATTTTAGCTTGATTAAAATGAATACAAATGTGAGTGGATGAATGTTTAAACATATCCAATTAACTTGATTTTTTGCAAGCATGTTCTACTTGACGTATTCTAAAATGTGAACGGTTCGAATTATCAAAATGGGCCCCGAAATGGGCAGCGTCCCCATATCCAAGGTTATTGATACAAAAAATCAATTTCATCGGATAACTATAAATATGAGAACAAATAGTATTTTGTTTTATAAAATAGATGGTTTAAATTTAATTATATTTACCGTTTATTTTATAGAATAAAATGCGATTTATTCTTTTTTTTATAATTATCTGATGAAGTTATTTTTTGCATGAATGATATTTATTGTGAAATTTACAAGATAAACGATTCGGATGATCGATGCGAGTCCAAATTAAAACCCATAAAAAGGATATGAAGAGATATTAAGAAATGAGGTATGAATGAGAGCTTATCCCTTCTAGTAGCGGTATAAAAATGGTCTGTGGCCTGTGGGTGGCTTGAGATAGGCTCGGCTCGAGCTCAACCCGAGACCTTAGGCCTAGGTCATCAATTTGAAATCCGGTCCGGTTCTTCAGCCCGCTCAAAGGATGACCCGCTTAATGCCCAGTGTCATTTTTAGTGAAAAAGAATAAAATTTTAGTGGAAAAAATAGGAAAAAAAATTAAAAAAAATGTTTAGGCCTGCCCAGACCTAGGCCCACTAGTCCAGCTCGAGACCCAAATACCCCCTGGGCCTAGGTCTAATTTTTTGATCTGTGCACCAGCTTGATCTCACCTGAATTTTGGCAAGAACTCGGGCGGCTGGACATGAGTAGGCCGATTGACCGGACCCAATTTACATCTCTAGTCTCTAGCCTTACTAGTACTTGGGTTTATTTTAGTGACTTTTTATTTTTTATTTTTTACAAAAATATGAGATATAAAAAATTAATATGCTTGGAATGATTTTTAAATTTATTATGAAAAGGTGTAAGAAAAGTAGAGAGAGAGAAAAAAAAAAAAAAAACTTTAAATTTTTAATATAATTTATTATTTTTTTTAATTTTTAAACTAAAATTAAATAGGGCAAATTACAAACATCCCCTCGAGGTTTGGTAAAAATACAGATTTCCCCCTGAGGTTTGAGAAATTACATCCCGCCCCCTGAGGTTTATATTTTCGTAACAAATTGCTCCCTGAGGTTTTTATTTTCATACAGATTCTCCCTAATTTTCCTTAATTAGTTATGAAAATTTGACCCTCAGGGAGTAATTTGTAATTTCTCAAACCTCAAGGAAGAATTTATATTTTTACCAAATTCGAGAGGGATGATTGTAATTTGTCCAATTAAATATTCCCAAAGGAAACCTTAAAAACCAAAAAAGTGATGATTGTTTCTCTCCAAACCCAAAACACCACTGTCTGCTTGCTATATATACCACCACCCAAGAACATGACCACACGTCAATCTTTAAAAAAAACAGAGCATCACCACACCACTCTCTCTCTCTCTCTACTGTCTCTCCATGGGGACTGTTGATTTGAAAACTCTCGAATTAGAGGCTCCATCCTCATTAGTCAAGAAAGTATCAGAAGATGATGATTATCTCATCAACGAAGACGAAGTATCACCAATCGAACAGGTCCGCCTAACAGTACCCACCACTGACGACCCGACCCTCCCAGTATGGACCTTCCGAATGTGGGTCCTGGGTATAATCTCCTGCGGACTCCTCTCCTTCCTCAACCAGTTCTTCTCCTATCGGAGGGAACCACTCATCATTACCCAGATCACCGTCCAGGTCGCAACTCTCCCCATCGGACGGTTCATGGCGGCCGTGATCCCATCCACCAAGTTCCGGATTCCCGGGTTCGGGGCCAGACAATTCTCTCTCAACCCGGGTCCGTTTAACATGAAGGAGCATGTTCTGATATCCATATTTGCTAACGCTGGAAGCGCTTTTGGAAATGGGTCTGCTTATGCTGTTGGTATTGTCAATATAATTAAGGCCTTTTATGGAAGGAATATCTCCTTCTTTGCTAGTTGGCTTCTTATCATCACTACTCAGGTTACTACTATTACTACTACTCTTTTCTTATTTGGTTTGGGGTTTGTTTGGTTGCTGGGAAAGTAGACGAGAATATATGATCATTTTTTTTAATCTTATTTGTTTAGGAATATAATTTTGGGAACATTACCTGAGTGGTAATTTGAGAAAATTATTACATATATGAAAAAATTATAATTTTAATTATTAATATTAATAAAATATCATTAATTTGTAATTATTTTTAAAATTCTACATTAATTTGAAATTTTGCCCAAAAAAGAATGAGACTACATTTTATGAATCACTGTATTTGGTTTTAATTTTTTGAAAATTGAGTTTTTATTTTTCATGTTTTTTTTTAATTTTTTTTAGTGAATATTTTTAAAATTTTAAGCATTTTTTTTTACTTTTTTAGATGCATCTTATTTAGATGTATTTAAAAGGTAAAATATTCATGAATAGATTTATCGTTTTTTTTTATATTTTATTTATAAAAATGGACATTAACATAAATTTTGAAAATAAATTATTTATTATATGATTATAATTATCAAATTAATTTAATTTTTTATGAATAATTTATCACGGTAAAGACTCATAGAAGGCTTTTGCCCTGTTTGGTAGAGCTGTGGGAAAGTACTTATAGCTTATGCCTAAACAGCTTATAGCTTATAACTTTCAGCTTAAGTTGATTTCCAACTTATTCTAAAAGCATCTTCTGCCCCACTCAAAGAATAAGCTGATTTCTGACTTCCACAAAGCTATAAGCTATAAGCTATAAGCTAAACCAAACACATCAAAATAGCTTAAATTAAGCTGAAAGTTGAAATAAGCTGTAAATAATTTCTGCCAAACAGGCACTTTATAGTCTCCCTTGGATAACAGATTAAGAAAACTTAAAATGATTATAAATTCATTAAACGTATTAATACATAACTTTTTAATAAACTTAACATGTTCCCTGAAACATACTTTACTATGTAAGATTTAGGGAAAATTCTATGTAAGTGGCATTTTCAAAGTTTAATTACATATTTATAAAAAATATATATATAATTTTATTTTTTAATAGTTATAAAATTTACTATTAATTTAAAATTATTTTTCTAAACCTGAAATGAAATTATCCCTAAAAAATTGTGTATGCCACGTCATAAAGAATAAAAAAAAACTTTTTTTTTTTTTTTTTTTTTGGGTCCAACCCCAATCACTGTTTTACAGAGCAACAAAACAAAAGAAAATCCTTTAAAAAAAAAAAGGAAACAAAATTTTATTACATCATCCAATAATAAGTACAATTATTTTTCTCAATTAAAAATAATTATAATTTATATTTATATTTCATAATCATTAGGGTTCAAAAAAAATATTTCATTTCCATTAAATATGAAACATAAGATTAGGTTTGCCGCATGTTCACGTCTCAACATAAAAGAACTTGAGAGATTTGTAAAGTCAATCACAGATTTCGTTTCGATAATCTAAACGATTTACTTTTTAAGATTCATGTAAAAAATCAAAATGATCGAATATCAGTAATTACATGTTTTAATTAATTTTTCATTACAAAAATTTGATGATCATTCTTGAAAATATATTTATTGTTTATTTTTTTTAAAATAAATATGATTCCAATATATAATTATTAGTGTCCAACCATTTTAATTTTTTCCATAAATATTTTACTCAACGAGTCTAAAAAATGAACTATTTAAATTATCGAAATTGATTTCAAAATGAATTTATCAAACTCAAATACTTTCTCAAATTCAAATGATAATATGAGAGCAACCCAACTCAATCCTCAATTACATATTTGATATAGAGAAAAGCAAAATTCGTCATTCTTGGTCTCCTCTGGTTTCATCGCTGGATAATATATAACGATAATGATAATGATGATGATGATTGATTAGTTTGGAGATTTGGTTAAATCGAGTTTTCCAAGGCTAACATGCGCATTGTGGGTGTGGGCCAGGTCTTAGGATACGGTTGGGCTGGGCTCCTAAGAAAATACGTAGTGGAACCGGCACACATGTGGTGGCCCAGCACCCTTGTCCAGATCTCCCTCTTCCGGTATGTCTTTATTTTTTTATTTACAACAATGATAGAGGATCCTAATTTCTGTGGCTCAAATGGCTCGAATTTGACAAAACGACGTCGTTTTGAGTACAAAACAACATCAAAATTGCCAAAACGACATCGTTTTGACAAATTTGAGCCATTTGAACCACAGAAATTAGGGCTCTCAAACATTTTCCTTTTATTTATTAGATTTTGCTTTTGTCTTCAACTATCGAATATTGATTTGAATTTTTTTTTTCCCATTGGACACTCACACTGTCCAGATTGAAATAGTCTTGTAAATTTTTATATATCCTCAAATCTTGTTACACATTTTTAAATATTTTTTTTTTTTAACATTTTTGCATGTCAGGATTCTCTGTCGAATTCTTTTTGTAAAAATATTATTTTAATAAAAAGTTGAGAAAAATAATATTATCAAATTAAAGGGAAACTTTGGAACATTAAAAGAAAAATTCATAAACTTCACCACTAAATTGTTATTAGCATGTTTAGTTTGGTTTTTATAAATTTGTTTCAGAAAAATTTATACAAAAATGAAATTTAATTATGTAAAAAAAATGAAAAAAAAAAATCACAAGTACTTATCATTTTTATATAATTTTATCTTTTTAGAGGGTATACATAATTTTTTAAAATTTAAAAATGTATTTTTTATGTTTATTTTTGTCAAACTAATTTCTATTTTTTTTTTAAATTAAAAAAATAATTTCAAAAAATCAAATCAAACATGACCAACAACCATTAATATGATATTTTTCTAAGTTTTTTCATACCTTTATAACCTTTGCACTCACAACCCCACAACATTGTGATTATCTCTAAATTGGAAAAGGAAAATGTTTGGTAGCCCAAAATTTTGTGGCTCAAATGGCTCAAATTTGTCAAAACGACGTCGTTTTACACTCAAAATTTGTTAAAACGACGTCGTTTTGAGTGATTTGAGCCATTTGAGCCACAAAATTTTGAGCTACCTAGCATTGTTGATATGAAAATTTCAAGGGACAATTAAAGAATAATACTTGGGACCCCCTTTTGGGGGTCACCCCCTCACCCCCTTTGCCACGTGGCGGGTGGTGATTGAAGGAGCAGGAAAAAAAAGAAAAAGAAAATAAAAATGAAAATGTAACCAATGAGAGAGAGAGGGGGTCAAAGGGGGTGGGGAAAAAAGGGGGATGAATCATTGTTGACAATTAAAATGATAGTGGTATGTTGATATTAAAATTTAGACTGCTGAGTGTTTTAGTTTGAAAAAAAAAAATTGAATTAAAATGAAAACATCATACTATTTTTATAAAAAAAAATTACGTTACAAAAAAAAAATTCTATTATTATAAATAAAATGCAATTGCCAAACAAACAAATTCAATTGATTATTCTATATATCTTGATTGATAGAGATATTTTGTTTGATATTTCTCCGTTTCTATCGGCTCCATAGATAGCTAATTTTTGTATATCCTCAAATCTTGTTACACATTTTTAAATATTTTTTTTTTTAACATTTTTTGCATGTCAGGATTCTCTGTCGAATTCTTTTTGTAAAAATATTATTTTAATAAAAAGTTGAGGAAAATAATATTATCAAATTAAAGGAAAACTTTGGAACATTAAAAGAAAAATTCATAAACTTCACCACTAGATTGTTATTAGCATGTTTAGTTTGGTTTTTATAAACTTGTTTCAGAAAAATTTATACAAAAATGAAATTTAATTATGTAAAAAAAATGAAAAAAAAAAAATCACAAGTACTTATCATTTTTATATAATTTTATCTTTTTAGAGGGTATAAATAATTTTTTAAAATTTAAAAATGTATTTTTTATGTTTATTTTTGTCAAACTAATTTCTATTTTTTTTTTTAATTAAAAAAATAATTTCAAAAAATTAAATCAAACATGACCAACAACCATTAATATGATATTTTTCTAAGTTTTTTCATACCTTTATAACCATTGCACTCACAACCCCACAACATAGTGATCATCTCTAAATAGGGAAAAGGAAAATGTTTGGTAGCCCAAAATTTTGTGGCTCAAATGGCTCAAATCTGTCAAAACAACGTCGTTTTATACTCAAAATTTGTCAAAACGACGTCGTTTTGAGTGATTTGAGCCATTTGAGCCACAAAATTTTGAGCTACCTAGCATTGTTGATATGAAAATTTCAAGGCACAATTAAAATGATAGTGGTATGTTGATATTAAAATTTAGACTGCTGAGTGTTTTAGTTTGAAAAAAAAAAATTGAATTAAAATGAAAACATCATACTATTTTTATAAAAAAAAATTACGTTACAAAAAAAAAATTCTATTATTATAAATAAAATGCAATTGCCAAACAAACAAATTCAATTGATTATTCTATATATCTTGATTGACATTGATTATTCTATATATCTTGATTGATAGAGATATTTTGTTTGATATTTCTCCGTTTCTATCGGCTCCATAGATAGCTATGTAAACAAGTAAATACATAAAATAAAATAAAAAAACAGCTATATTTCAGATTTAGTACGTGGTAGCAACGCAAATTGAAATACATTGACGCCATATTTGGATGGACATAAATTTGGAATTAAATTAATAATTCAACAAAATACAGTTAAAGAAAAGAAAGAATTCAAGGTAATAGTATGTCCGAACATGATATCAGAGGGAGTAAGGATACAAAATGAAAGATAAAGAAGGTTTTGGCTAAATTACAAAATTGATAAAATTTCGTTAATCTATTCCTATATTCCTTACCCAATTTAAATATGAAATAAAGTATACAATTCAAATAAATTGATAATCTCATGACTAACTGTCTTAAAAATATTAATTCCAGCATAGGCTTCGTAAAATAAGGCTTGTGAATACTATATTTTGCCTCCGTTTGGGAAGTGGGTTGGCTTTTTGGCTTTTTGGCTTTTTTGGCTATTTTAGCCTGGGCTAAAAAGCTTGGTTTGGGAAGGGCTTTTTGGCTTTTTGGCTTTTTGGCTTTTTTTTGTGAGAGAAGAGTGTAATGATTATGGGTTGGATGTGATGTTTTATTTGTTGTGGCTAAAATAGCCTGTTTTGTCTTTTGTGACTATTTTAGCCCCAACCCACTTGCCAAACACCACCTTTATATCAAGTTGTTATTTCATTGGGAAATATAGCTTTGAGTTTTCGCTGTGAACCTTTTGGGTGAGAAAGCCATTTTGTTTGTTAGTTCTTCGTTTCTATCGGATGATGACAGCTACCCCCAATATCATTAAATATAAATATAAAAAAGAAGGAAAATTTACCCATAAGTCCTAGTTTTTGAATCGTTGAACCATTTAGTCTTAAAAGTTTTCTTATGCTCCATTTAGTCTCATTTTTACATCAACATGATGTGAATGATGTAAATGATCTGATGTTAAATTCTATAATTTCAAAATTTATTGAAATCTGATGAACATTAGATGTTTTTCATCCTATATTTGTAACATGACTCTGATGTTATTAACATTGTATCTGATGTTATTAACATTGTAATGGGACCTTTCAGTCTATAAGAAAACTTTTAGGACTAAACAGTGCATAAGTTATTAATTTGAGGACTAAGCTTTGGGGTTGAGTTTTATCAAATGTTTATCACATGGTTATTAGAGCTGACTTACTATAGGATGAGAGGGTGCGTGTCTGGATCCATATTACTAGGCATGAGGGAGGTGTGAAGGAAGTTTCACATTTTCTAATTACAGGGGCGAATGATGCAATGTTATAAGACTGAGGGACCCACACTCAGCTCCATATAAACCCAACTTTTTTTAGAATGATTTTACCCAAAACTTATGCGATTCTGATATTGTTGAGTACCAAAGGATATGCAGATGTATAAGCATGCATGAGAATTACTTTTTCACTTCATAAATTAACTTGAGATTGAGTTTGATTAATATCAAACCGTATCGTGTCGCAGGAGGGGTCTCCTAACATGAAGTAATACGATTACTTAGATATTGCATTAGTTAAGTGGCAGAAAGAGAAGTGGGAACGTATACCTGAACTAAGAACATAATCTAGGAGGAAAATCTTCATGTAATGGCCTAGCTGAAGTCACTGAGAAAAGAGATTTGCCTGAGTCCATGCTCATATAACCATAGTTTGAAGCACACATTGCAAATTAGGTCTCTTCCCAGTAATATTAACTTCCATTAGTACTCTTTATATATTCAAGCCTGGATGTCTGTAACAAAAACCATATCTCCATGGCATTGAGAGGAGAGCCTCTTTTTATTTATTTTATTTATTTATTTTTAACCCAAAAACAAAACCAAAAAACCTCAGTTGATCATATTCACAATACTAGAAAGGAATGACTGATAATAAAGATGAAATATGATTATAGTGATGTAATTATGAATTTCCAAAACACGGCTTCAACAGTAAAGTTGTATTTTGGTGAAATTAAACTTTTAAGTTCAAAAAACTATTTGGGGAAATAATAATTTAAAATTACATGAATTTAGTAATTAAAAGGAAAAAAACCTCAAATTGATCATATTCATAATAACTCTAGAAAGGAGTGCAGAGTTAGATTACTTGATTTGTGTGGCAGTGGATGATGCTGATGGGAGGAGTGAAAAGTGATGAAAGCAACGAAAGAGCAAAGGAATGAAGCCCCCAGTAAGGATCTGAACCTGCTCTTTGAGGAAAAGAGCGAAGAAGAAGGGAGACAATAAGTGTTAGCAGCCAGAAGGATGTATAAAACCACCAAGCAGAGGTATGTCTGGGTTACTCTTCATCAACTTGTCATGTACATCTCTTTTTCCCTCTGAAGATGCCTGTATCTTTCATATATTTCCCTGTAAACACACAAATAATTCTATTCACCACTTTTTTTTTTTCTTTTTTTAACCCCCCACCCAAATATATATATTGATATGCTAAAAAGGGACCTGCTCCGTTAAAAAATTATTTTCAAGATCGGCTCCTCCTATGAAACAAACAAAACTTGAATGATTATAACATTTGTTAT